GCCCGATGCTTCCCCACGCACTTCTGATCCCTGCGAGCCTGCAGGTGGCTTCACGGACAGAGGGCGCGCAGCCTTCAGGATGTGGCTCCCGCCCTGCCGCCGCGCGCACACGCCGGAAACACATCTGCCAGCGGTTCGCGGACGGAGGGCGGGCCGTCTGCACAACGTGGCTCCAGCCTCGGCGCCGCGCGCCGTCGACTGAGAATCTGCAAGGCAGTTCACGGATGCAGGGCGGTTCGCCTTTCAAGATGTGGCTCTCGCCTAGCCGCCCTCCACAATTGCCCAATCTGAGTTCTACTCTCCTCTCTCCCCCGACTACGTCCTGGAAATGTCCTTTCCTCTCCACATCTTGGTTTTTGACCGACCGGATTTCAAGCATTGGTATGCCAGATGTGTTTCTCAGATAGGAGCGTTTACGGTGCCTCAGAACGGTGATCCCGCTGCAGCGCTGGCATCCTTTCAGGATCGGCGTTTTGCATCAAGGGGCCTGGGGCACACGAATAAATACGCACAAATCCCAAGATTCCCTTATATTTTTCAATGTTTTCTGGATTTCCGTCTTCCCCCCATTGTCCATATTTTCCCATATCTTCCTGGGAATCGACGATGAATTGTCCCTGTGTGATTTTCCCCCTCCTGAGCTCAACAAGACGCTCTCGCCCGGCGCAGGGCGCATGTCTGGAGATCCGAGTGTCTCCTCATCGTCGTCGGCCCCTTGCTTTCCCGCCCCTCCCCTTCTCCTGGCCTTCCTGTTCCTCCCGATCCTCCCGATCCTCCTCCTCCTCCTCCTCCTCCTCCTCTCTCTCTCTCTTCCTCATCCTCCTTCCTCCTCACCTCCTCCTCCTCCTCCTCCTCCTCCATCCTCCTCCTCCTCCTCCTCCTTTTCCTCCTGCTCGTCCTCCTGCTCGTCCTCCTGGTCATCTGCCACCTCCGTCTCCAACGGACGCAGCTTCTCGGCTTCATATTGGACACGCTACGGTGGGGTCCTTTTGAGGGTTTAGGTCCACGATGGCACCCGAAAGAAAGAACAGCGCATTAGGATTAGGTCGGGCCTGTCCCCCTACAGGGGGGTTTTAGGCGAACAATTTAGACATTCAAAAATACAGAAAATAATCGAACGATAATAGAAAAATCGTCCCTGTACTATTGTTGGACTATTTTTGAATATTCCCCCTGTAGAGGGACAGGGCCGACTTAACATCAGGATGGCATGGGTGGGAGGGGTGGGATGTCAGAGATGGCGCGACCGCATCATGCTTGTCCCTCCACGCTGCTTTCCCTCGCCCTCCACCTCCCCTCCTCCCCCAAAGTCCGACGCTGCGAACAAAATCGCGGCGTCGCGAACAATCTCGGCCGGAGCCCTGGAGCTCATCTCTCCGCGCCCTTTTTCGCGCTGGCTCGCCCCGTGATGGTCCCGGGGCCCGACCTAGGGCGAGCACGCCCGTTGTGGAAAAACTGCAGCGACAGGATCTCAGGGTCCTCCAGACCCCCCGAGGGGGGCGTGAATGGACAGAAGTATCCGAACCCCCCAAAACGCGCCGCCTTGACTGAGATCAGCATTGCCGTCGGGGGCGCGGGGGTGATCTAGAATCTTTCTCGAACGTGTAGGGGTTCAAATCTACTGTCCATCTGCGGTATCGGTACCTTTCGATGTCCCCCGTTTGGGGGGCCAGTTCGATTGCCCTGGAGGAGGAGGAGGAGGAGCAGGAGGAGGAGGAGCAGGAGGAGGAGGAGGAGGAGGAGGGGGAGAGGAGGAGGAGGAGGAGGGAGGAGGAGGAGGAGGAGGGAGGAGGAGGAGGAGGAGGAGGAGGAGGGGAGGAGGAGGCGGAGGCGGGAGGAGGAGGAGGAGGAGGAGGAGGAGGAGGAGGAGGAGGAGGAGGAGGAGGAGGAGGAGGAGGGAGGAGGCGGAGGATGAGGGATGAGGATGAGGAGGCGGCGGAGGAGGAGGAGGGGGAGGAGGGAAGGGGGAGGAGGAGGAGGAGGAGGAGGGGAGGAGGAGGAGGGGAGGAGGGGGAGGAGGGGGGAGGAGGAGGGGAGGAGGGAGGAGGAGGAGGAGGAGGAGGAGGAGGAGGAGGAGGAGGATGAGGAGGGGGAGGAGGGGCGGCGCGCGCGGGGTGCGGCGGCAAAGGGGGGGGGAGGCGCCGGTGGCGCCGCGCGGGTCTGCCTCTCGGCCTCGGCCTCGGCCTGGCGCCGGCGCTGCCCTCTCCGCCAGCGCCGTCGCCGCCGCGGTGCGCCGCCCTCTTGCGGCTCCTGCGCCTCCTCCTCGTCCCGCCCCAGACCTCCTCGAGTCGCGAGCAAAATCACGGCGGGAGGCGTTTCGCTACGTTTGGCCTCGGAGGGCCCTGGCCGCACCTCGGGGCCGTCACAAACAAAACGACTCGGGATGAGAAACCGGTCCCGGGGAATGGGTGCGGACCTCTGGGGGTCGCGTCATGAAAAAACATGACGTCGGGGGTCTGGGGCTTCTGCTCGACAGCATTCGCCAGGGGAGGCAGGACGCCGACCGTGCAGGAACGCGGTCCTCGACGGCGCCATCGTGAGCTGCGGCGTGCAGCTTGAGGCGTGCGACCGCGCATCGTAGGTGGCGCTCGCCGAAGCAGGGGGCGGGGGCGAGAGAGGAGGTGGCTAGGGAAGGTGGAGGATGCTGGAGCATGGTGCAAGCGAGGGCGGAAGATGGTGATGATGATGATGATGGTGATGATGTTGATGATGATGATGCTGAGGAGGAGGAGGGGGACGAGGAGGAGGAGGAATAGGAGGAGGAGGAGGAGGAGGAGGAGGAGGAGGAGGAGGAGGAGGAGGAGGGAGGAGGAGGAGAAGGAGGAGGAGGAGGAGGAGGAGGAGAGGAGGAGGAGGAGGAGGAGGAGGAGGAGGAGGAGGAGGAGGAGGAGGAGGAGGCGGAGGAGGAGGAGATACCTGCCCCCCTGAGGCACAGCGAATCGTCCCTGTCAGCGCCATCGGCGATGGCGGCGCCCCAGATCAGTGCGCGAGAGCCCGCGCTCCTGCACACCTCGTCGCAGATAGGCACATTCGGCCTTCGAGGAACCTTTGACGCTTTGCGTATCACCACCACCGATTGTCCGACTAGTGTTCGGACGGCTTTCGACCTGCTTCGCGAGCCCGCAAACATAAAAGTATCCCCACCAACCCATCCAGAAACGATGCCCAAGAGAGCTGACGGGAGAAGAAAGGAAGAAACGCACATAGTGAAACAGCGTGGGCAACAACGGTGAATTGGGAGATCTCTGGTAGCGAATGGTACGGGTGCTGCTGTTGGTGCTGTTGCTGCTGCTGGTGCTGGTGGTGGTGGTGCTGCTGCTGGTGCCGTTGGTGTTTGTTTTGGAGGCCTCTTGGGGCGTCTGGGGGGCTTCTTGGGTGCCTCGGGGATCCTCTTGAAGCTTTTGGGGGGTCTCTTGGAAACCTCTTGGAAGCGTTTTGGGCGCCTCTTGGGGCCGTCTGGGTGCCTCTTGGGGCCCTCTTGGAGGCTTTAGGGGGCGCTCTCGGAGCCATCTTAGAGGAGATCGATCAACAAAAAGGGGTTCCCTATTTACGCCCCCCCCTCGGTAGCCCCCAACATAGCCTCCTGGACCACTCTTGGGGCGCTCTTGGAACGCTTTTGGGCGCTGTTGGGGCCGTCTTAGGGCTCTCTTGGGCCCCTCTTGTGGCCCTCCTGGGCCATCTTGGAGCCATCTTGAGGCCTCGGATGGCCATCGGAGGCGAAAAAGCGAGAAGGCAACAACCATTTGTTGTCCGAAGGTTTTTGAACAATTTTGGCTTCTTGGAGGCCTCATTGGAAGTCTCGGGTGCCTCTTGGAGCCGTCTTGGGGCGGTCTTGGAGCCTCTTGGAGCATCTAGGAAAACATCTTGAGGCATCATGCGCTATCTTGAACCATCTTGGAATTCATCTTGGGCTCCCAGAGTTTTTCTTGGAGCCGTCTTGGGCCATCTTGGAAGCTCTGACCGCTCGCGAACCCCCCCGTCCAAGTCCAGGGGAGGGGGTGGGGGGGGAGGGGTCAAGACGCCCTCCCCGCCCGCAAGCCGTCTCGCTCACTCCCACCCGCCCTCCGAACACATACGTAGCACCCAAGCCTGGCCCGAGCCGCAGCATATGCAGCAGTCGTCTTCGGATGGCCAGCTACTGGGGGCCAATCCGCCGGCCGCCGCCGCCAGCGCCGCGCCGCCGCCGCCGCTGTCCGCCGATGCCGCCGCCGCCGCGCTTCCCGCCGCCGCCGCCGCCCCCGCTGCCAAATCGCCGCCGCCGCAGCCGCTGCCGCCGCAGTCGCTGCCGCCACCGCTGCCGCCGCCGCCGCCGCCGCCGCCGCCGTGCCGCCGCCGCCGCCGCCCCCCCCGCCGCCACTGCCGCAGCCGCCGCAGCCGCTGCCCCCGCCGCAGCCGCCGCCGCAGCCGCCGCCGCCGCCGCCAAGTGTACTTTGGTTGATGCTCCCAATTTGGAGGCAAAGTGTGTTTTGGATGTTTCTTACAAGGGATGGTGGGGACAGAGTGTGTTTGTATTTTTACATGGGATGGTGTGGGGGGCCCTCATGGACCTGGGTTGGCTCCCAGTCGCCTGGGGGAGGGGGTGTATATTAATAGGGCGCAGTGATACAGTGATAAACCCCTCCCCGAAGGGGAAGAAGGGGGTTGGAAGAGGAAGCTCCCTAGACCACCGACGCCCAGAAGGCGTTCGGGACTTCGCTCCGGGGGGGAAGGAACGTAAATATCGAGAGCGCAAGCTGTTGAAACTAGTTTGAACTCGTCTCGTAGCTCTTGAACAGTGGGCACTACCCCGTTTTTGTCCCTGCCGAACGCACGAGGTCCGCAAACTTCTGCCCATCGCAGGCCGCCGGTCGCGGTTAAACCTGGGGCTCCATGCTTAGGCCCAGACAGCAGCAGGGGTGGAAGGATGGTGCGAGGCGTGCTGATCTCCGCTCTGCCGCTGAAGTCTTCACGCGCCATGAGAAAGAGACGCCGCGAAACCAATCTTTCACTCGCGTGTCCTCTTACTCTTGCATCTCCCTCGCTCTCGCGAACTCCTTCGTCTGCTTCGTTGCCGTCTTGGCCGCGTCGATGGCGGCGGCCCTCGTAGCCCGCTGGCCGTTCTCACTAATCTCGAGTGCCGTCGTCGCCGGGTCCTGCACGAGGGGTCGCTCCGCCTCGCGGTGCATCTTGAACAGACAGGTCCTGTCGGCGTCCTACTTCGTCAACGCGTCCACTGCGCCTTGTGAGCCGACGATCCACCGCGAATGGGTTCCATCACGTCGTAGTGCTTCTCGCAGGAGTGCACCTTCTACCGCCATCCGCTTGTCCTTGCTCTTGGCCAGGCCCTCCTTGGTGAGATGATCGTACTCTGGCTTAGCGTCGGTCGCCCAGAAACGTGGGAGCATTTGCCCATTGCGCAAGTCTACGTATACATTCGCAGCTTCGCGCAGCAGTATCGTTGCCCAGTCAAGTGCCCCCACTGCGTCCGCCTGGTGACTAGCCTCCGCCGCGAGCGTAGGCCGACGCACTCGTTGGGTCGGTCATGCCACCCTCCCAGATCGAGCACCGCAACAAGGGCAAGATGACCTTGAAGAATACTCCCTCCGTGCTCATTAGCACCGCGTGTCCTCCGCAACTCTCGTCGCGCTCGATGTCGTCGCGCTCGGGGCCGTCGCGTGGCCTGCGTCCACCGCGGCCCCCGCGGCCGCCGTAGCTTGCCTCGGGCCCGTCGGATGCGCCAGCGATACGTCGGCGACCTTCTCCACCTCGGCCACGGCGGGTTCACCTTGAGGTCAGCTGCGCATGGTGCCGCTCGAGATGTAATGCTGGTCTTGTGGGGTTCAAAATAAATTCGCCTACATCTCGCCACAGACACTCGGATAAAGTTCAAAACGTAGCCCGGCGAAGGACCCAACCATGCGCAGCTGCGAGTATCGCGAGGCAGGTGTGACGAAGGAGGGGGCAAGCAAAAGGCATGCGAACGACGCTACTGGGGCCTTCGGTGGGGCCCACGTATGAGGTGAGGCCACGAAACGCAATGCTGGGCGGGGGAGCTGCATGCGGACACTGCCAGTGGGGCCTTCGGCGGGAGCTTCTCGTGGAACCACGAAGCGCTGCGCTGGGCTGGGGAACCGCCTGCGGGCGCCGCCGCTGGGGCCATCGGCGGCAGCTCCCTGTGGGGCCACGAAATGCAATGCTTGTTGAGGGGGCGCCGCCATTGGGGCCTTCGGTGGATCTCCCTGTGGGCCGCGAAGCGCTGCAGTGGGTGAAAGGAACGCATGCGGACGCCGCCGCTGAGGCCTTCGATGGGGCTCCCTATGGAACCGCGAAGCGCTGTGCTTGGGGGGCCGCATACGGACGCCGCCACTGGGGCCTTCGGTAGAGCTCCCTGTTGGGCCACGAAACGCTGTGCTGGATGGGGGACCGCAAGCGGGCGCCGCCGCTGCGGCCTTCGGTAGAGCCCGCTATGGGGCCACGAAGCGTTGCGCGGGGTTGGGAAGCTGCATGCGGACGCCGCCGCTGGGGCCTTCGGTGAAGCTCCCTATGGGGCCCCGAAGCGATGTGCTGGGCGGGGGGGCCGCATGCGGGCGCCGCCACTGGGGCCTTCGGCGTGGACTCGCCACGAAGTGTTGTGCTAGATGGAGGGGCCGCGTGCGGACGCCGCCGCTGAGGCCTTCGGTGGAGCTCCATATGGGGCTCCGAAACGCTGTGCTGGGTGGGGGGACCGAATGCGGACGCCGCCACCGGGGCCTTCGGTGGAGCTCCTTATGGGGCCACGGAAGGCAGCCCTTGGTTGTGGGAACCGCATTCGGACGCCGCTGGGGCCTTCGGTGGATCTCCTGATGGGGCCACGAAGCGCTGCGCTGGGTGGGGGAACTACATGCGGACGCTGCTGCTGCTGCCTTCGGGGGAGTTTTTTTTTTTTTTTTTTTTTTTTTTGTTTTTTTTTTTTTGTCTGTTTCTGCGGGGCCGCGAAACGCTGTGCTGGGGTAGGGGAATTCGCATGCGGACGCCACCGCTGCGGCTTTCGGTGGAGCTCTTTACGGGGCCGCGAAACGCTGTGCTGGGTGGGGGGGCCGCATGCGGGCGCCGCCGCTGAGGCCTTCGATGGAGCTGGGTGGGGGAACCGCGCGCTGGCGCCGCCGCTGGGGCCGTCGGTGGATCTCCTATGGGGCCAGGAAGCACTGCGCTGGGTGGGGGAAACGCATGCAGGCGCCGTCGCTGGGCCCTTCGGGGGAGCTCTCTATGGAGCCACGAAGCGCTGTGCTGGGTGCGGGAACCGCGTGCGGAAACCGCCACTGGTGCCTTCGGTTGAGCTCCCTCTGGGGCCGCGAGGCGCTGTGCTGGGTGGGGTAGACGACGGCGGGGGCGCGCGGGGGGCAGAGGCAGGGGTGGGGGGGGAGGAGAAGGAGGAGGAAAGAAAGAAGGAGGAAGGAAGGAAGGAAGGAAAGAGGAAGGAAAGAAAGAACGCGGGGCGCTGTCTTTTCAAAGGGGGGACCCAACGCCGCAGGAGGGTTGGGGATTGAAAACAAAATAGCCGAATCTGACTCCCCCGCCGCGTCGCCCTCGCGGCGCCCTGTTCCCTGGCCCCCCCGGCGCGCGCCACGAGGATCCACGCGTGCGCTGCGGTGGGAAACCTGGCCGGCTCGGCGACGAAATCGCGCTCGGTCTCGGCGCCCCCATCTGCGAGCGGCCAGAACGAGCGCGGGCCTGTCGCCAAGTCGGCGCCGCGGGGGCCCTGGGAACGGGCGCCGCCAGGGCGAGGCGGCGGAGATGGCAGGATCGGCACTGTTGTTTTGGGGATTCTCCCAAGAGGCTATCTGAGCACCCCCGGCGAATGCTAGGCGGGAAATTTGGCGGCGCCTGGGCCGAACCACTTTTCACATTCTCGAATCGACGCCCGCCCCCGCCTCGTCCTCGCCCCCCCCCCCTCCCGCCGCGCATCTCTCGCATCCGCTCTTTTCCCTGTCGTGTTGCCCTGCTTTCACGCTCGCGCGTTGCCTTCTCTTTTTTCGGGGCGGGGCCGGGTTCGTCCTGCCCCTGCTACTCGGTTTCTCAGAATCCGCCCGAGCTACGAACCTTGCGCCGCGACCGTGGCGTACCTCGCGCGCGTTCGCATGGGCCCCCGGCGGCTCGCTGGCGGGTGGCGACCACTCCCTAACTATGCTGACTCACAGATGCCATTGCAGCTCGCAGCGCCCCCCTTCGGAGCTGGGCCCCCGCCCCCCCCCTGCCCCCTTCGATCGTTCCTCGCGCATCGCGCCCGCCCCCAGGGGCGGCGACAATGGCCTGCCCGAGCACCCCCCTCTACGGGTCCGTCTCGGACCGCCCTGTGACCGAGACCCGACGATGGCGCGCCCGCAAGCAGAGCGGCGCAGATCAAATCCACCCCCCGCCGACGACGACGACGCGGACGACGGCGGCGACGGCGACTGGCGACGGCGGCGGCAGAGTCTGGTCGCCCCTGGGCTCCAGGTGGTCGCGGGCGCCGCGGTTCAAATAACGTTTAATGCAAGCGCCAATTCTGGGCGCCGTCGAGCTCTGGGCGGCCGCGGGCGCCGCGGCCTCGGGGGCCCCAGCCGGGCGCCCCCCCCGCCGCCCGAAGCCCTGCGCCGGGCGCCGAGGGCCCCGCGGCCCAGGGGACTGCTCCGCCGCCGTGAACGCGGGCCTGCAGGAATGCTCCGAGAGGGCAAATCGCCTCGCTGTTCTTTCGCATGGGAACGCGCGCGACCTCGACTTGTACGTCCCTCCGCTCCGCCGCCATGGGTGCGGCCAGGGGGGGGGGGGGGGCCTGGCTCCGCCGCCGCGAGCGCGGCCTTCGGGGGGCCCCATGAGCCCTCGTGGGCCTCTTTTGGGGCCTTCTCGAAGCCTTGCCATGTCGGGGCCCTCAGAAGGCTCCGAGAGGGCTTTCCTCGGCTTGCTCTGCAGAACACGGCGCAACGTCGAACTGCAGGTCTCCCCGCACTTCGCCGTTGCGAGCGCGGCTTGACGTCGAGCATCACCTGGGCGACTTCAACGTGGGATTCAATGGGGGCCAACCCTGAGGGGGGGGATTTCTGGCGCGCGCTCTGGGGCCCAGGGGGCCTGGCTTTCGCGGTCGAAATAACAATCCTAAGCGAAGGGTTCAAGCACGGGCGTTGCTCCAGCCTCATACTCCAAAGGAAGAGCCGCTGTGCGCGTGCGCGGGTGACCGTAGTCACGCGCGCGCGTGCGTCCGCGCTCGGGGGGCTGTGTTTTCCATGGTTGGGAACGTGCGGGGGGCCAGTGTGAAATTGGGAACCCCATCGGCCACTGCCAAGTGTTCACTGGAATTTCAAGCCAGCATGGCGATTGTGTTGTTCCAGACAATCGAAAAAGCTACGCGCGCGCCGGCGGGTGGTCATGTTAACCAGCGCGCGCTCGCGCGCGGGGGCTCTCCGTGGTTTCCGGGGTATGGAACGTGCAACGACTTGCATTTTAGCAGGGACATCGAATCCGTCGCCGTTAATTGTTCGTTTGGTTTTCCAGCCCACGATGGCGACGTTCCTATTCCAAGCAATAAAGAAAACTCCACGCGCGCACGCGCGCAGAAAGCTCTCTGTGGTTCCCACAATGAAATACATACAACACAATCCAGTGACCTTGGGAAACTAACTTGCCGCCGTTCAGTGTTCACTTGAGTTTCCAGGCCAACGTGGCGACTTTGCTATTTCAAACGATGGACTACTCCGTGCGCGCGCACTCTGGCTGGTGCCCGGGGCCCCCCGCGCGCGTCCGCGCGCTGGGCGGTCTCTGTGGTCTCCGGCATCAAGGACATACAGCAACATCCATGTTAACAAAGCCATTTTCTACCAACATGGCAAACTTCTTTTTGCCAACCAATGGAGAACGCCCTGCGCGCGCAAGCGCGCGGGGGCTCCCCGCGGCTTCCGTAGTGGAGGGCATATGGTCAAGCCCATGTGACAATCCAATCGGTCACCCCTAAGTACTCACGAGAGTTCCATGGCCAGCATGGCGACTTTCTATTTCAAGCAATATAGAAAGTTCTACGCGCGCGCACAGGAGGCTCTGTGGTTTCTGGTGTAAAGAACATGCTGCGAACTGCATGATAACTTGGAAAGCGAACCCGTCACCGCTCAATTCTCACTTGGCTTCCTGGCCTAGCGTGGCGACTTCTTTGTTCCAAGCGAAAGAACAAGCGCAGCGCGCGTGGGCGGCCATGGTCGCCCGCGCGCGTCCGCGCGTGGAATGCTCTCTGCGGTTTCCAAGGTGAAGAGCATGCAGCAAAATGCATTTTAGCTGGGAAAGCCAATCTGTCGCCGCTGAGTGTTCCCTTGGCGTTCCAGCCCAGCATGGCGACTTCGCTGTTCCAGACAGAAGGAGAAGCACGACGCGCGCGTCCGCGCGCGGGGGGCTCTCGGTGGTTTCCATGATCGATAATATACAACAGAACCCAGGTTTATTTGGGAATTCAATCGGTCGCAGCGAAGTGCTCATTTTAGTGTCCAGGCCATCGTGGCGACTTTTCATTCCAAACAAAAAGAAAGCTCTGCGCGCGAACCCCAGCTGGTGACCGTGGTCGCGCGCGCGCCCACGCGCGGGGGGCTGTCTGTGGTCTCCACAGTAGAGAACATGCAGACATGTGTATGTTAGCTAGGAAATCCAATCGGTCACCGCTGAGTGTCCCCTTCGTCTCCAGGCCAGCGCGACAGCTTGTCCATCCAAAACAATTGAGAACAAGCGACGCGCGCGCGCGCGCGCGGGTAACTATGGCCACGCGCGCGCGTCCGCTCGCGGGGGGGCCCTGTGGTTTCCATAACATAGAACCTATAGCAAGACTCGTGTGACCTTGGAAATCCAGGGGGTCACCAGGATGTGCGCACTGACATGGCTTAGGCCAGAATGGTGAAAGTTTTATACATTCCAAACAAAAGAAAGAGCTCCCCGCGCGCGCGCGAGGGTGGCCAGGGCAAGCCGCGCGCGCCCGTATGCGAAATGCGAGGTGATTTCTAATACTGGGTGCGCCGTACTAACGCGAATTGCACTTCGGGGCCAGGTGCGCTCTAGGAGCAGCTGCGCGCTAGCACGTGATGGTGCCAACTGTACTCAGATACTGACTGTACTGTGCTCGGACAACTTCCGGGGCTCCAGTGATAATGCGCGCGGGGGAAAAATAAAGAAATCCATGCGCCGCCGCGGGCCCCGAGCTCGACGGGTCGCCGCGAATGTGACCCCGCGCGGAAAAAAGAGAATTCCGGCCCAGGGGCTGGGGGCTCAGGCATGAGTCGCGGGGGCGATCATCAAACTTTCAATCCGCGCGCCCTCGCAGCTGCGCTCGCATTGGCGGGGGCGGGGGGGGACTCGCAATTCGATGCTGCGTGGTCCCATGCGGGAAACAAAACGACCCTCTAGGGACACCCCCAGGGCTCGGGGGGGCCCCAGGGGGCCCCAAGAGGGACCCAAGAAGGCTCCAAGAGGGCCACTAGAGGGGCCCAGGAAGGCCCATCGGGCCCCCCGAAGCTGCGCTCATAGCAGCGGAGCGAAGGGGACTTGCGATTCGACGTCGCTTGCCCCCCCCCAGCCCCGCTGATGGTGGGCGGCCGCAACGTTGACAATCCGCAGCCGTGCCCCCTGGCGCGTTGGTGCGTACTAAATGGCAAGGATTCTGACGTCGCGCGCAGCCCCCCCTTCCCCGCGTTGTCCGGCTCGCGTCGCCCCTTCCCCGGATGCCGCAATCCTTCGTAAAATGCGGCGAGGGCGCGCAGAAAACTTCCAACACTGCCGACAAAGATCCCCTGTGGGACCCACTAGAGCCTCGGAAGCCCTGTCGGCTGCCTAAGACGGCCCCGCGGCCGTCAGACACCCGCCGCGCGGCCAAGGGAACCCCAATACGGCCCGCGAGAGCGCCGAGACGGCGCAAGTACATATGAAATTGTGGGATTCCACGGTAAGCATCATAATACATGGTAAGACTATTCCTTCCTGACAGATAAAACAGGACAATCTGTAGCTTGTTATGTAAATTCTTACGGTCCCGACCAAGTTGGGGACTGACCAACTACAGCAACACAGGATTTTCTGCATAACGCATACTTCGGGTACGTGTATCCTGGGATGAATGTATGCGTCCACGTGACAACTGTCGAGCCCATTCGGTTGATCTTTCTCAGTTAATCCACACTATCACGCTGGATCCTGTTGGGATCAGACGTCGATCGAATGTTGATACGATTTCATATTATGGTATAGCGAAACAGCAGTTTAAGCCATAGCTTTTATTGATGAGCAATAGCAAGGCACTTGCGTCTACCCCGTATGAACCTACATGGCAAAGTCATGATTCAAATCTGACCTTTCGGCAGAAACAGTGTTCATAATCGTAAGTTTGCTGTTGCATTCTCTCGTGTATATGTACGTATATATAAGATCACGATGAGATTCGCAAACCAAACTCACAGTCACAAAACAATCATTTTCATGAAGCTTGCCAGTACCGAAGAGGTGGAAGCGGGAAGAGTAGGAAAATGGAGAAGAGGAGCAGGATAAACAGCAATAACAGCAGCGGAAATGGAGGGATGAGAGGAGGAAGAGGCCGACCAGTCTGAGAATGAAGGGCGGGAGGACAAGGGGGGGAAGGACGGATGTTGGACAGAGGTTGCAGGAATACCCGTAGCAGGAAAAGGAATGAGGATTGGAAGGAGGAAAAGGACACCAAGTAGGAGGTGGTGGAGGAAATGGCGAAGCAGGAGGGCGTGGAGGGGGAGGGTGTGGAGGGAGAGGCGGAAGAAGTTGAGGAGAAGGGGGGTAGGAGGAGGTGGAGGAGAGGGGCATGGGCAAGTGGTGAGCGAGAGCGCCCGTTTTTCTCCCCGCTCGCTCACTTGCGCAACCTCGCGACTCCACACGTGTCGTACCGGCTGTGCCGTGCTGTAGGAGCCAGCCCCACTGCTCAAGCGGGAGTCGCGGAAGAGATGGAAAAACTGCGGGCGAACCTCCGACCTCCAGGCGTCGCGAACAAATAACGATGGGCGCTTCTCCTCCTCAGTGTCCGCCTCTGAGGGCCCGTTTCGGAGCCCTGGGAAGAACCCATCCCTGGGATTTGGGGTGCCTGGAACGCAGACGGACAAACATTGAGAACGATGCCCATCCAAAGGTCGACAGCGGCCGAATCCCACCAGCCCTCTGGGCGTAGGTGGTTTAACGAGTTTTGTCTTCTCCCTGCCAAGACCGCTCCTTCCCCTGCTCGGCGGAGGGGTTTATCACTGTTCCCTACAAAAATGTACACCCCCTGCCCCAGGCGATAGGCAGCCAACCAGGAACAATGCTCCTCCCCCACCATCCCTGTCAACAAAAAAACAATACAAAACGCGCTCTGCCTCCAAATTCGGAGCATGCGCAACCAACCCGATGCGCTCCCCCACCAACCCTGTCAACAAAAAAATCCAAAGTACACTTTGGGGCAAAGTCTGGAGTCATGTTCGTGAGGCCCGCGAGCACTCTGTACTGTTTTTGACAGGGGCGGCGGGAGTGTCAGCATATTGCCTGCTGTGCGCAGGGCGGCCATCCCTGACAAAACACAATACAACATGCACCTCGCGGCAAAATCTGAATCATGCGCGGCCACCCCGCGATCATTGTCAAGTTGTTTTTGATAGGGACGGGGAATGGCCTGCTGTGCGCAGGCACACCAGACACAATGATGGGCATTGATTTTCGACAAAGACGGTGGGGGCCGACATGTTTCCCGCTGTGTGCTGTCACGTGCGCAGGCGCACCTGGCACACTCTGCACGTGCCCCGAACGTGACACACCTGGCGCGGCTGGAGTATACAGCACACCTGGCGCACGTGAGGCACGTGGCGCATCTGGCGCACCAGGCGTGCCTGGCACGCTCGGGCCCCAGTGGTGCCTGGCGCGCGTGGAGCGCCTGGCACGCGTGGCGCACCTCGCCCCAGCGTCGCGCACATGGGCTCGGTTTGGGTTCCTAGTAGCTGTCCACCCAAAGACGACTGCTGAGCATGCTGAGGCTTGGGTGTCACTTACGTGTTGGGGGGCAGGTGGGACTGAGCTAGACGGCTTGCCCGCTGGAATGTGTCTTGACCCCTTCCCCTACCACCTCTTCTGTGCCTGGACGGGGCGCCCCTGTGAGGGGCTGGAGCGCCCACGATCGACCCACATGGCTCCAAGAGGGCCTCAGCGAGCGCAAGATGGCCTCCAGAATGGCCCAAGATACTCGAGCAAAGCTCAAGATAGCCTCCGATATTCCTCCAAGCAGCCCGCAAACGGCCACTGCGCCCTTCGAGCCCTCCACGGACCTCCCCCAACCGCCAACATAGCTTCAACACCCAGGGGAAATCACTGTGTTTTGCCTTCTCGCTTTTTCGCTTCCAATGGGCCTCGGAGGCCTCCAGATGGCCCCAAGACTGCCTGCGAAAGCTCCAAGATGGGCCCAAGAAAGCACCATGAGGGCCCTACAAGCGCCCACACGCGCTCCAAAAGCGGCCCAAGAGGGCCTCAAGACGCCACCTCGTATGGGGGGGGAGCTGAATTTAGGACACCCCTTCTGTTTGACTCATGGGGGCCAAGCTGGCCCAAAGAGGCCTCCCACATCCCTCCAAGAGGGGGCCCCAAGACCCCCAACATGTGCCCCAAGAGGGCCGCCAGAGTGCCCTAACAGGCCCCACGGGTTCCCAACAAACTCCTAAGATGGCCTTTGCTGTCCTTGTAGAATCTCTCACAACAGCATCCCTCCCAAACCCGACTTCTCATCCTCCTTGTCATCGTCCGTTCCTTCTCTCCTCCTTTCCTGCCTCCTCCCTCCCCCCCTCCCACTCCCCCTCCTCCTCCTCCCTCTCCTCCCTCTCCTCCTCCTCTCTCCTCCTCCTCTCCTCCTCCTCCTCGCCTCCTCCTCCTCCTCCTCTCCTCCAACTCCTCCTCTCTTCATCTCCTCCTCCTCCTCCCCGCCTCTCCCTCCTCCTCTCCTCCTCCTCCTCCTCCTTCGTCCTCCTCCTCCTCCCCTCCTCTCCTTCCCTCCTCCTTCCTCTCCTCCTCCTCCTCCTCCTCCTCTCGCTCTTCCTCCTCTCCTCCTCCTCCTCCTCCTCCTCTTTCTCCTTCCTCCTCCTCCTCCTCCTCTTCCTCCCTCCGTCTCCTCCTCCTCCTCCTCCTCCTCCATCCTCGTCCTCGTCCTCGTCCTCGTCCTCCTCCTTCCCCCAAAATGGTCCCAGGATGTCGAGCATGGCTCAATATAGCCTCCGACAGACCTCCAAGAGGCCTCCAGACTGCCACGAAACGGTCCAAGATAGCGGAGCATGGCTCAGGATAGCCTCCAAAAGGCCTCAAACAAACCTCCGATCGTGTCTGGATGGGCTGGTGGGGGTACTTTTTGGTGCGCGGGCGCGTGAAGCAAGTCGAACGCCGAGCGCGCTAGGGCGGGCCGCACAGTAGCGAAGGAAAAACAGCGGATAACTACGCCGCCGCAGAGCGGAGCAGAGCGAACCGCAGCCAAAATGGCGCGGGAGGCGTCACGCAGGTACCGAACACGCCCACGAGGATGCCGATGGTGACGCCGGTGCAAACGAGAGACTGCCCACGTGACCAAAGCGAATGGATGTCGAGCGTCATGCAACCCGCGGCGACGATGACCAGGAGAGAAAGAAGGGTAGGGGCCAACGATTCCCCGAGTACCTTGCCGAACACGAAGTACAAGACCCGGTGGGCCACCACGTGGAAAAGCAGCCAGAAAGTGACGAAAGCGCCTCCGCGACGAACAGGAACGGGGAGGCGAGGCTGCCGTGGAGGTAACTCGGCCTCCAGGTACCGTGTAGAGCGCGCAGCTGTACGCCGACGCGTATGAGACGAGCACCGCGAAGAAGACACGGAGGACGGTCGGGCTGCGGCCGCTCCGGGACCTCCCCAGAGGAAATCAAAGGCTCCCTGGGCAGGGGCAACACGGACGCAGAAGCCACAAGCAACGCGACCAGCCATCAGGGCGCCCCGCGCGCCGAGGCCCGGAGGCAGCTGTAGTGACCGGCGCGGCGAAGCCGTGCAAGAGGGCGAGAGGCGCCACCACCAGCGGGTATCCCGCGCGGCGGGCGGCCGGCAGCCCAGCGGCCAGCGGCCCGCAATGAGCGTCACCAGGGAGACCGTGCCGACGAACGCCTTCAGCGGACGGGGAGGGTCCCTGGCATGGCCAGCAGCGCGCCCACGCCGAAGGCCATCGCCATGAACCCTTGTTGCCATTACGTCGATGAGGAACTGGGAAACGCCGCCGCCGCGTGCGTAGCTGCGGCGCGCCAGCCGCCCGCAGCCCAGACCTGGCGGCAACTGCAGCGGTTCATGGGGGCCGCCAGCCCGGGGGCGTTCCGGGGAGCGGCACCGGGGACAGGGGCCCTCCAGTGGCCGCCGGCCCAGGTGGCAGCAGGGCGGGCGCCCGCGGCCCCAGCCGCGGGTGGGCCCGTCCAGGTTCCAGCGCAGGGTAGGACCTCGAGAGGTTCCTGCCAGACAGCATCCCCAGGACGAGGCGAGGCAGGGAAGGCGGCTGATCGCCGCAAACACGAGGAACATCGGGCGGTGAGGAGCGGCAGCTGATCGCTGCATAATCATGGATAGTGGGAACGAATGCAGGCGAGCCCCAGGCGACGAGGCAGGAAAGGGAGGGCGGCAGGAAGAAACACAACAAGAAGGTGCGGCAGCTGATCGCTGCAAATGCACGAGAGGAATACCCAAGGAATAGGCCAGGAGGAGGAGAGGAGCAGCAGGCAGAAGGAGGAACGCGAGGCGAAGTAGACGAGCAGAAAAGCCACCATAAGCCTTTGTGGCGTGACCGTTCGCGTGCTGGGTACTGCCGGGCTGTGCAGTCGAGTGTGCAGTAGGGAACCTACTGTCGATGTCTCTTCTCTGACAGGGGTCCATCCCAATCGTAGCTGCGCTTGCCCTGTTTGCCGCTGCGTGCGTCAAAGGTGTCGCGGTCATGGCCCTTGCCTGGTCGCACGGCGCCGCCCCGATCCCTCGTCATGTGGTCTTGCCTTGCGTGCCCAATGTTGGCTTTGAGCCCCAAGTGGCGATCGAGCTCGTAGGCGTCGTACTTGCAGCGGCGCCAGACGTCCAATATTTTTTCGCAGGTGCGCCAGTCCTGCACCAGTGGGTTCTTGGGAACGAAACCGGGGCGAGTTTCATACTGCTCTGCCCAGCGGTGCCAGACCTCCTTAAAAGTGGCACCGAGCCCAGCTTGCATCCTCTTGATGAGCTGGCGGCTGTCTTCGTCGCTGCCCTGTGCTTCCACCAAGTGCGTGGGCGTCTTGCGCATTTGGCTGCCGCCACGGGCGGCGGTCAGTCGACGTGGAGTGGGTTGGCGGCTCTGTCGCGCCACTCGCCTCGATGCCACCTCCCACTGGCGTGGCTGCTTTGTGAAGGGCTCGATGTGTCGTTGCGTGGCCCTGCAGGTGAACCTGCGCGTTTGTGTCGTTGCGCGCGTTCATGCTGGAGCTGTGGTCGGCCCGTCCGATGCCTGCAGGACTGTGCGTGCGTGTCCCGCTTCGTTGGTCCTGCTCATTGGGGCTGTGGCGGACGGCCGCGTCCCTTGCCGTAGCCCAGTGTCGGAAACCCCGCTGGCCAGAGCCGTGATCCCACCGCCTGCTGTGGTCTCCAGGAGTCTGGGGGTGAAAGCGGCTTCCGTGTACTGGCGGGGTCGTGGCTGTTGCTGGCCTGCTCGGAGGTGCTGAATGTGACGGTGCGAGCTGGAGCCTTCCCGCTAGTTCCCTCATCGGTGAGGTCTGCAGGAGTGGAGGGTCTGAGTCTGCTGGCGGCTCGGGGCTCCTTGGCGGCGCCTCCGTCTCGGGACCATCGCCGACGTCAACCGAATTGTCTGGGTCCGCCTGCCTCGTGTCGTCGTCCATGATAGCTGCCGGTGCAGCATCGGGCTTCGTTGCCTGATCCGACTCGGTTTCTTGCCCACGCGTGTGCTGTGGTGATGGGCGCTCCGCCTGGTCACCCGTGGCTGTGTCCGTCACCGTTCCGCCGTCCGTCCTGGCCTGGGCAGTGTGAGAAGGATCAGTCCGTGGGGGCTCGTCTGAACCGCTCGGCGTCGGCGCCGGGTCTCCCTTGGCGGCGTCCGCCTCACCTTCCACCTCTGCGTCGTCCGTGAGCACCGCTGGGTCGAGGGTGGCAAGCCAGTCAACGAGCGTGTCGGCGCGGTGGTGGGCAGGGTCGGTGTCCTTGCGAGGTGCGTCCTTTTTGGCGTATTGTCCCCAGGAGAACCTCGACAACTGTTCCAAGGATACTTTTGGTACGCGGGCGCGCGAAGCGAATTGAACGCCGAGCAAGAAGGGGCAGGCCGTGCCACAAGCTAAGGGAGAAACGGAGAGGCGAGCAACGCCATGCACAGAGCGGGACAAAGCTCAGCGCAGCCAAATGACGCGGACGGCGTCACAAAGCGGCACTGGGAGCACGTCCGTGTAGGTGTCGAACTAGACGCAGATGAACTGGAAGAGAGCGACCCTGCCTGCGACCAAGGGGTGGAAGTCCATGGGCGCCACGCTTACCCAGGAAGGCGGTGACAGAGATAAAAAGGAAAGGTCCATCCAAATTCCACAGGTAACTTGCTGAACGCGCAGTCCTGGACCTGGTAGGTCTCTACGAGGAACAACAAACACCAGCGCGAGCAGCGAGAGTGCCTCCGAGACGGACAGTAAGGCAGAGTGAACGGTGCCGAAGAGGTAAGCGGCCTCCAGGTACCGTGTGGAACGCGCGGGCGAACGTAGAGGATGAGCACCGCGAGGAAGAAGCGACTGTTCCAAGGATGCGCGAAACGTCAATAATTGAGAGCGATCCCCATCCAAGGGCCGACGCCGGCCGCTGGTGAGCAGGCGATGCTCGTCGTCCCGAAAACACCGCGTCCGTTGCGGCACTGGCAGTGGACCCTGTCCCAAACGGGCAAGAACTGCTGTCGGTCTCCGTCCCGATTGTTTCCGCTGGTGGTGGCGATGACGCTGGCGACGACGGGGAAGAATTGTCACAGTAACTAGATCCAAAACCCCTTAGACAAACTAACCTTGATCACGCATTGTGCCCCCAACGCCGATCCAGAGCCAGCTGCGGGGGGCCGATGCCCTTGAGGATCCTCAGTCCCTTCGAAGTTGAAGGACAGGCTCAGGGGGCGAACATCGACCTGGAATCGGCGATACATCGCCGCTAAATCGGCGATAGGCCCCCGATGGCGAATCCGCACGGTTCCTGGCGGGGTAGGCTATCAGGCCCCCATCGGCGATGAATGGGCGATTGGGAGTGGAATCGTCCTTCCCCCTGAGCCTATCCCCCTCTAACGTTGACCCTGGTCCGAGGGGTGTGATCGAGAGCCCATGAGCCTGCCAGGACGGACCCCGAGGGTACCTGCCAGAAGGCTCCCCTGGACAACCTGAATGGAAGGGCGAAAGCCCACCCCCACGGTGCCCAAGAATTTGCAAAACGCCCTGGCCCCTGGTCCCGACCTCCTGAATCGCCGGCTCGGGGGTGTCGGGGGCGGCAAAGAGGGGGGCGTCCAAGAGGGGGGGGTGCAAATCATGGCCTGCGGCATGTGCGCGGCCCAGCGGGGGGGCCAGGGACGTATTGAAGCAAGAAGAGGCGCCATGAAATCTGGGGAGGTATCATGGCCCCCGCCATGATATCCACCCCCCCCTAGCCATCCCCCCCCCTTTTCCGCCCCCGAGGGTGGGAGTCGGGACTGGGGGCGGGTGTGTGTGGGCTTTCGCCTTCTTACCGAAGGCGCCCGCGTCGTGAAGCCCACGAGGTCGGAGGCCTGGGCTCTGGCAGCAGGCTGCCGCTGGACGCCGGAGGCATCGGGCCGGGCTGCTCAGAGGCGTGCCCGCGCGACAGGCGCGCCCGCCCCGGCCGACAGGCCTGCGCTCGCACGAGGCGCGCCGGGCCCCGGCCAACGTCGGGCGCTGCTGCGTGGGGGGGGGCCATCAGCTCAGATCTCCGACGGTGTGCTTTGCTCATCTCGGCGCCTCTCCTCGACCTCGGTCTCCCGGGGGGCCGTCATCGGGTCCCAGGGCCATCGATCGAGCACGGATGCGCAAGGAAAAGCGTCGCCTGGGGCAGGGGGTCGGGACCCCTGGGGCGCGAGCTGAACCAGTCAGGTCGGATGCAGTCTGGGCGCTGGGGGAACCGGGGCGGGGGGGGGTCGGTCGAGAAAGGTGCACCTCTTGTGCGCCCTCGGGGCCCGAAGGGGCCCGCCTTAGGACTCCTCTCCTGCAGCCCTCGGTCACCCCCGCCCCCCCTCTACGAGACGCCCGACGGAGGGCCAGAAGCAGCCTGCCGGCGGGGGGAAGGAAAACCACAACTGCGCACCTCGAAGGGAGAGGCGATCCAAGCTCGGTCTGGGCCCTCCCGAGGAGGGGGGAGCACGCCCGACCATGCCCAGGAAACCATGCTTCGCCCTCCGTGGTAACCAGTCGCCCGATCGCCGCGGGGGGGCACCGCCCCCCGCGAGCCCCTCACATCGAAACTGGGGCCCCGCCGCCAGCAAACGCCGAGCGCCAACTCCCCGCCCCTAAACTGGAACAAATGGGAAGGTACCGGTGGTACCGCTACTCCCCAACCCTCCCTCGAGGTGCGTTTTTTACCAGAGTTTCGAGGATAATCTAGCCGTGGCGACGGGGGCTCTCCAGGACGAGCAGCGGTATCGGCGCCTTTTCCTGCGCTGCTCCCCCAACACGCACCACACCAGCCTCGCGCGGGGCACCGAGGAGGCAGAACCTGACTTCTGGCGTCCTCCCCCTTCTGCTCCGAGCGAGGAAGCACTTCGCCTATTCATCATGGATTCGGGCAGTATCTAGATCAAGCTGATCGGCTCTTGCTCTTGATGTTCTTGCTCTTGCAGCAGCGGTCCCAAGGTGCGCCTTGCAGGGGGTGTGCTTGTCGCCATGGCTATGGAAGGTCTGTTGAGAGAATGTGCTAGGATAAGTATTGTGAGGGCGGTGCATGTGAATATTGTGAGGTCGGTGCATGTGTGCAGTCGGCACCCCGCGCCAGGGGATGTGCCGGAAGCGCCGCCGAGGGGGGGGCAGCGCCAGACTCAAGAACTCCACGCGAACTTCCACCAATTTTCGGGGGCGCGCAAACATGGATTGGTGATCCATGGATTTGGCGCGCGGTCGCCAAATCCATTGATCGGGGGAGGTGCCCTCCCCCAAAAGAGCGGCCGGTGCCGCCTCCTTCGGCGGCGGAAGTCCGCGATTTCCCAGAGAAGCGGGACCCGTCCCCCTTGACCCATGCTTGCGATCGCCTGAAGTTTGTGTTTCAGTAGTGCTTCTTCGGTGCTTTGTTAGGGCTTCCCTCCCCGCAGCTGGCGTGAGGGCGACGGGTCCTCAGGCGAGCGCCCTTCCTTCAAAGGCCGCGCCGGCCAGGGTCGGGACGCCGACGCCGCTCGCTGGAGGAGCCTGGGCCAAGCCGAGAAGGATGGAAAACCTACGACGTGAAGTGCCCATTTCCATATCCATATCCTTCTCCTCCTCCTCTCTCCCTCTCCCGTCCTCATCCCCGTCCTCCTCCTCCCCTCTTCCCTCCCCTCCCCCGCCCTCCTTCTCGTCCACCCCCGTCCCACCCTCCCTCTGCTCCCCTCCCGCCCTCCCCGCCCCTTCCTCCTCACCATATCATCCCTCCCTCCCTGGACCACCTGCCATCCCTTGCGAACGACCAAAACCAACTGACAGGGAGGGGAGAGGAGGAGGAAAAGGCAAAGGAGGAGGAGGAGGAGGAGGAGGAGGAGGAGGAGGAGGAGGAGGAGGAGGAGGAGGAGGAGGGGAGGAGGGAGGAGGAGGAGGAGGAGGGAGGAGGAGGAGGAGGAGGAGGAGGAGGAGGAGGAGGAGGAGGAGGAGGAGGAGGAGGAGGGGGAGGGGGAGGTGGAGGAGGAGGAGAGAAGAGGAGGAGGAGGAGGAGGAAGAGGAGGAGGAGGAAGGGAACGCGGAGGAGGAGGGAGGAGACGGAGAATGAGAAGGATGAGTGGAACGAAGAAGAGGAGGAGGAGGAGGAGGAGGAGGAGGAGGAGGAGGAGGAGGAGGAGGAGGAGGAGGAGGAGGAGGAGGAGAGGGGGAACTGACTGTTATCGGCCGTCCTCTTTTCCCGCTCACCCCTCCCGTCCTCCGCCTCAGCCCCAAGGGAATGAACATTTCACCGTCTGTTGACTTCCAGGCTCCACAGACTGCGGTCCGCTGTCACACCTGCGGCACAACGCAGCGTGCGAATTAGTGTCGCCGGACAATTCCCTCCGCACCTATGT